TTTGCATGCGTTCACATCCAGGGGCTCCATCAGCCTTTCCCACTAACGAGAAAGCGGTCCAAATCCAGAAATATATCACTTTATCCTCAAGAGTCACCACAAACGGTGATAAATATCGTAAGGCTCGCGGTTTTGAGGGGAAGCCATATCTTGCGCTTCATTTGAGACACGGATCCGATTGGGTTTGTATTAATAGTTTCAACTTATGTCTCACTCATTGGTCTAATATTGATTGATTTGAATTGTATTGAAAGTTAAAAGCGTGTGATTTGCTCAAAGAAAACCCAAATATGAATCAACTGTTTTCATCGCAACAGTGCTCTCCAGTGAGCCATCACTCGCCTCCCATTCCTCTTCCCTATGAACTCTGTTTTCCAACATTTCACACAATAGTCCAACAAATTAGGCAAACAATTAGTGAATCAGAAGAACAAATCGAAACCATTTATATCGCAACCGATAATAATAATCAAACACTTTGGCAACTGATCCACGAAAGTGTTCCAAATATGACACTCATTACACCAACGAAGACAATGTGGTCTTCGGGTGTACGATATGTGGGACGGAAGGGAAAGCCAGTCCTTTGGTGACACTGACTGAAGACAACTGGACGGACATGTTGTCCGGCGAATGGATGGTTGAGTTCTTCGCCCCGTGGTGTCCGGCCTGTCGGTCCCTCCAGAAGGACTGGAACTCCTTCGCCACTTGGAGTCAAGACCTCAGGTCAGAGTCAGACCCACACCTCCCTTTCCCTCCCTTCCCTTCCCTTCCCCTCACACTACCTCTCATTGTCTAACATTTGGTGCCAATTGACAGCATAAGAGTGGGTGCGGTGGACGTGACGGCCAATCCCGGACTCAGCGGTCGATTCCTTGTGACACAACTGCCAACCATTTATCAGTTAGTCATTCATATGTTGAGTATATTTAATGAATTCATTGATTGGTTGATAGCGTCAAAGATGGTGTCTTCAGACAATACAAGGGATCGCGAGATAGCAATGCATTCGTGAGTTATGTGGAGGAGAAGTCGTGGCAATCGACAGAACCGGTGTCTCTCTGGACGTCTCCAGACTCTGTTTTGTCCGTATTTTGCATTCATTTCAATCCTAATAACTAATTGTCTGATTGTCTGCTAACCCACCAGAATGTCAGTCGTGTCCTATTTCTTCAAGATATCAATGGCTTTGAGAGCTGTTCACAACCGACTCGTTGATGATTATGGTATGAATGAATTGGCATTAATTGATAATCACGTGAATATGAATGCATTTAATGATCCATTAGGTATACCCTATTGGGGAAGTTATGTTTTGTTTGCTTTCGTCACTATCTTGTTTGGAGCCCTCTTGGGATTGGTATGTATTGGACAGACATTTCTCATACGACACCTCTTGTGCCACTCGAACATAGGCTTTAATTACCATTTAATACGATATAAGATTTCATAATATATTTCATGTATTCACCAAAAGTATTGAATTATGAAAATAAGTGTCAGTTTATAGCGTAATACGAGTGAATGGGTGTCGTGTTTAATACCGTATGAATTGAGACTTGAATTATAAACTCAAAATTGAATGCAATTTCAGTTAATTGTTTGCGTCATTGATCTGATATTTCCGGCAAAAATGAGTGAAGAAAGCAAAGAGAAGTCCACTGAGAATAAGGGCAAAGAGGAGGACACGACTGACTTAATCGATGACCGAATACAAGACGAGGAGGACAGCAGTGATGAGGCAAATGCCACTCAACTCAGGAGACGACACAAAAAGTCTGAAGACTCGGACGATAAAGAGAACGATTGATTCATTAGATTAGTTACCAGTTCTTAATGAGACTTATATTTCAATTGAAATTAAGGCCCAGTTTTCCAATTTTGATGACTTTTTTAATTTATGGCAATTTTTGCTCATTTGTTTTATAAACTAATTCTAAACGAATTGTCGTTTTTTCTATTTATAGATCAAATTAAACCATTAATTGATATATTTATGATTAAACGCTTGAAAAATTTTTAAACATTTTGTAAAAATATTTATTCTTGAGTTCACATTTGATTATCAAATTAAGCGCAATATATTTGTCATTATTGTATACAAACAATCAAATGTACGAATATTTGATTAGAAATTAGTTTATATACGGATATAAATACATTAGTTTTTTTAATTTTCAAATTAATTGATAAATTCTATAAATTATTGTTTTGCACAAAATAAAATATTTTTCATAATATTTAAAAATCTTTAGGGAATTTGTATCAATGTTTTACAAATGAATTCAAAACAAATGCTTTGAAACACTCATTAATACGATGACGAAGAGCTGGTTCTGGACTTTGACCGCGAGTTAGAGCGAGAATCCCTGTGATCTCGGTTTCGGTGTCGCCTTAAATATGATTTCAAAACAATACATTTATTATCGGTAGGCTCTAAATGCTAGGCATTCCTTACCGGTATCTGATTTGTTTGAGTTTGTCATCCCTGTCCACTCGCTCCTGCATTTTAATTCTCGATTTTTCAAGTTCTGCTTTTTTGTCACTTTTGTCTGAAATGAACGACAAATGATTTAATAAAATAAATTCACAGAATTTTTGCAAAACAAAAACCAATACATTGTTTGTCAAGCAATGCCTGCATTTTCCTTTTAAGCCGTTCTTGTGGTGTAACCGTCGAAGAAGACTATAATTGATTATAAAAGCAATCATTCAAATGAATTAATGATTAAAAAGCGCAAAGAGTTGGTATTCTTTGGTCAGCGCTGGCAAAGAGAATAATCCAATTCTTACTGACTTTATGTCCCGAATGACTAAAACGATTACTCGGACTCTGTTTACTTCTATAAAACAAAAATCTTTGAGTCAAACCATACAAATCATTGTCCCTTCCCTTCCCTACCCTACCCTTCAACTCTGGTCTCCAAACTCTCTTTTGGACTCTCTTTTGAGTCCTCTTTGTGATCAATTTCTTCGCCACTTTCGTCACTCAATAGATCATGTCTTCACAAAATGCAAAATTTAAATCACTTTTCATTATTTACTAAAATCATGTCAAAAACCTGTAATAACTCTTGAGTGGAGGCGACGGCGCTTTGGTTTGAATGTCCTTTTCTTCTTCTTTGATGGATTCGCTCGCAATATTGGATTCACTTTTCAAAGGCTCACAAATTGTCTCACTTTTCACACTTTGATTAATTGATTCGGTGTTGTCCTCATGTTTTGTGGAATCATTCAAAATTTCTTCAGATTTTACCACTTTTTCTGTTTTCTGAGAATGATTTCTATCTCTTCTGGTGTCTCGACTCGTACTTCGCCTTTGATGCCGCCGTCGATCTCTAGATCTCGATCGTTGTCTTTCACGGGATTTGGAGCGACGTCTTGGGCTTCGATGGCGTCTGTGATCACTCCTATCAGCGCGAGAACGAGATCTCGATCTTCGGTGTCTATCTCTCGATCTTCGACTTCGAGAACGAGATCTCTTTGTTCGCCTATAATTACGAGATCTACTTCTGGATCTACTTCTAGATCGAGTGCGGTTCCTATACGGACGATATCTGTTTCGATATCTATTCCTATCAGTAGATCGACTGCGAGATCTGGTTCGCGATCTATGATTTAAACGATAAGTTCTTTGCTTTGAATGAATGGTTTTATTGAATGAAGTCGTGTTGAGCGATGAGACGGAGTCCTCTCCGGGAAGTGTTGGCCCATAAACAGGAAGCGTTGGAATGGTTTCCGCTCTTTCATTGGCTTTCGATTTGAGCCTTTGTTTCCCTCTCGCCATCACTTGTTTTGTCTTCTTTTCGACCACTTCTTTGTGAGTCTCTTCTTCAGAAGATTCGGCGCCGAAACTGAATTCAGTAATGAATTCAATCTTATTTTCATCGACAGAAACTTCGGAGTCGGACGAGCTTTGAACGTCTTTGTCATCGGATTTGTGTCTTTCAATGGTCATCGATCTGTCGGACATATCGATCTGAGAACTCCTCAAAATCATGAGCCGCTGTTCCTTAAGCGCCCGGCGCTCGCGTCTGGACTTCCGTCCCGTGAACATCGACTTCTCGTTCTCCACTTCCTTCTGGACCCGAATCTTCTCGGCTTCCACTCTATCGTCGTCTAAGTATTTGACGAAATCATCGCATTTCATACCATACTTGAGGGCAATTGTATTGATCCGATGCCCGGACTCGTTGTCCAACTGATCGATATTAACAGTGGTGTCGAAGTCGTAGTCCTCTTCAGAACTCTCTTCGTCCGATTCCTCATCGGAATCGCTATTCTTGTGAACCGTTGCGGTCGGGTCTTCATTGTCATAGTTGTATGAAATGGCGGCCCTCTTCTGAGACAACTTCTTCTTGGTTTCCAACGACTTGTTTTGAATATCTTTTTGGCTCTGATTGTTGACACCAAACCTCTCCTCTAAGTAGATCTGTTGCAGAAATTTCGATTCATTCACTCCTAAGAACTCGTTTTGCACTAAATTGCGATATCTTTCGTAATTCATTTGCCTGTCGATGGCCTCATCGGCAGAGTTGTTGGCGTCGGACGTGTTGGCAGTGGTTTGGGATGTGTGCGCCTCGAGATCTAATTGGTTGAGGTGTGCCCTCACGTCAAACCTATCGATTAAGTTGTTGTTGTCTCCCATCCATGGCATCAGTGATGACTCGGCGAGTGAGCAGAGGTTGGGGTCGATGTGTATCTTGAGTTGCATTCCGTGCACCTGAAGGAAGGCCGACGGATCAGATCGGATCCGGTCGTAGAAGTCGCGCCTCCGCTCAGCCCTCCGTCTGTAGTCAATCATCAATCCCTTCAACTTCTTCTCGTGTTTGCGCGCCTCCGCCCACATCATCAACACTTCCCACGAATCCTCTTCCGCTTAATTCAATGGCACTCTTAGTGATAGTCAAGACATTCAGTCATTGAGTCTTTGGTTCAATAGTTAATGAATACACGAGAAGTGCTTTCAATGCAAACAAATGTCCAGTAAATGAGTCGATCATTAGTATTATTACTAAATAACAGTATATTTGCGGTCAACACGTGACCCCTAATTGAGTCCACATTGCAATCAAAACTAATTCACTATTTGAGATATTGAACATAGAATTTGTGCTAGCTTATTTGCATTCACGCCGATACAGTATGATCAAATATGTGAGTATTGCAAATACACAGTAATATTACTAATATATTAGAAATACTGTACTGCACTCACTAACACACCAAACACTGCAATCAATGGCATGGGAGGGAAGGGCTCTCTCTCTCTCTCTCTCTCTCATTCATTCATTCATTCATTGATTGCATTCATTCATTAAAGGCTACATTAATAGAAAGTTGTGCTAAATTGAGTACAAAGTATATAATAATTAGATAAAAGATATAATAGGACACTCACTGACCAGTTGCCACTGGTCATTCTCCATATGAATTGACCATGCTTATCAAACTCCTGTCACGTCAAATGTATTCCGCGATTGATTCTTAAAGAATTGTGAACTCATTTGAGGAATGAAATGGTTTAATCATAAAAAGTTATATAAATCTCAACTATAACTAAAATATTTGGCATCACATTGAATGTATAGACAACAAGTGAATTACAACAAATAGAATAGGTCTATGTGCTATCTCACTTTATATTTATTATTCATTTAATCTCAGTTCATATTTTATTAATTGGTAAATAATTGGTACCAAATGTTAGTTCCTATCAAATCCTTTATCTAAACCCTTTGGACCATATTTTTTAAAACCCAGTTTAGAATAATTTTTTAGAAATGCAAAATTATCGAAAAATGATCATGCTATTAATATTTGATTGGAACAACTAAATTTACTTGTTTAGAAAGTATTGTACTACAGTAGATCCTATAATAAATTTAGTTTTAACAATACTATACATTTGTGTCATTTGGATGAATGTAAACGACTTGAATAAAGTGATGAGACATGGATTCATTGGTTCACAAGAATCGGTGAACAAATGAATGGATTGAGAAATATTTGAAAAGTGATGCAAAACTTGTTATCCAATAAAAAGTGAACTCAAGAGACGAGTGTTTGGTTTGAAAGTTGTTTGCAAACTCTCAGGTCATGTGTTATTGTGTTTGTCGCCAAATATGAGATTTTATAGCAATTTGTTTGCATTTATTATAATTGAATGGAAATTAATATGCGGTCAACACATAGACATCGATCCAAACGGATATATAATGTACTGTTCGTGTATGGGTTAGTAGGAGTACACTATAGCACCGGTTATTCATTACGAGACTTTGAAACTATTCAACTAATTATCATTTGTCATCAAACTTGAGGTCGTTTTGGTAATCAAGCGGAACAACTGTTAGGAAGTCTTCAATTCGCCAAATCTGTGGACAGGACTCTAATCCTCCCGCCATTCATACAATACAATCACTATAAGGTCTGACGGCTTACCACTCATTCATTCATTCATTGTTTGTTTGTTTGAAACTTTAGATCAATTTCATACCATTTGATGATTACTTTGAATTGGAACCGATTCAACGTTTCCATCGAGTCATGACATTAGAAACTTTTATGAAATATCTGTCGCCAACCGTATGGCCGGAAGGTATGCCACCATTCAATCACTTGATTCCCGATTCATTGATTCAATTAATTGGTGCGTTTAGAGAGCCGGTCCATCTTGTGCTACAGTTCCAGGGGATCGCCGGATAAGACAGACCAGGGATGTAATCCTTTGGACGGAAATCCATTCAATTCTTTTTGGACTCATATCGGTGTCAAAGAGTTTGCAAACGGATCTGTCTTTCACTCACCCCTTCTCACGGATTATAAATACGCGAAGGAATGGAAGACAAGGTTTAGAGACATCAAAGTGTTGGCATTTGTTGGTATGAAATCCATGTCCACAGTTAAGCCACCAATTCATACAAACTTTGCATGCGTTCACATCCAGGGGCTCCATCAGCCTTTCCCACTAACGAGAAAGCGGTCCAAATCCAGAAATATATCACTTTATCCTCAAGAGTCACCACAAACGGTGATAAATATCGTAAGGCTCGTGGTTTTGAGGGGAAGCCATATCTTGCGCTTCATTTGAGACACGGATCCGATTGGGTTTGTATTAATAGTTTCAACTTATGTCTCACTCATTGGTCTAATATTTATTGATTTGAATTGTATTGAAAGTTAAAAGCGTGTGATTTGCTCAAAGAAAACCCAAATATGAATCAACTGTTTTCATCGCAACAGTGCTCTCCAGTGAGCCATCACTCGCCACACATTCCTCTTCCCTATGAACTCTGTTTTCCAACATTTCACACAATAGTCCAACAAATTAAGCAAACAATCAGTGAATCTGAAGAACAAATCGAAACCATTTATATCGCAACCGATAATAATAATCAAACACTTTGGCAACTGATCCACGAAAGTGTTCCAAATATGACACTCATTACACCAACGAAGACAATGTGGTCTTCGGGTGTGAAGAACAAATCGAAACCATTTATATCGCAACCGATAATAATAATCAAACACTTTGGCAACTGATCCACGAAAGTGTTCCAAATATGACACTCATTACACCAACGAAGACAATGTGGTCTTCGGGTGAGGTATCAGAACACAGTCCTCCTGATGACATCATAACAGACATCTATCTATTAAGTGCCGCCAATCAGTTGATTGTGAACTGTATTTCATCGTTCAGTGCATTCGTGTCCCGCTATAGGACTCATAGCTTACAACTCATACAAAGGACTCAATTCTTTGCGGAACATAGCATTCATGAAAACTTTCATTTAATTAGAGATGAGCTTTAATTATATGAGACAATGAAATACATGAAAATATTTGTATAATAATTGAATAATACAACATTTTATAATAAATACAAATAAAGTCGAGTAAATAAAACCGATTAAATCCAAAATACAATTATAAATGACTGAATAAATTTGCGAATAAATGAGACTTAAAATAATATATGCTGTCATCGGTTATGAGATTAAACTGCAATAAAAGAGAATGAAATGATGAGTGAAATATAAAACGAGAATTGTTTGATGAATACATACTTTGGTCAAAAGTGGCCGGATTTATGAAACACAGCAATTCCGCGTCAGACATCTCGGACAGCGCAGAGATATTAGTTGCCTGAGTGACAGGTGTTGCGCCGGCAGTCGATGTTAGCACTGGATTCTGTGGCAGTGATAATGCGCTCTCCATTGGCACCGATTCTTGCGAGAGGTTTAGTTTAGTCTCAATGACGGGCATAGGAGTGACGATCGATAGGTTGGGTTCTGTACTCATCGTTGAGACTATATTTGTGTCCATTGGAGTGGACGATGAGATCGGTTCCAATATGTTTGACATATTGTCACAACTCATTGAATTCATGTCATTAACGCTTGAAATGTGTGACATTTGTGGCGAGTTATTGGCATTGAGAGGGTTGAACGGTAGGTATTGCGACACGGGTTGGACCGGCAGTGAAACGGTTTCCGATATTATATCGGATGTGTTTTGCGACACAATCTGTGAGTCGGTTGTGAACACATTTTGACCAATACTTGTGTTCATCTCAATGTCTGGCATCTCTTGCATAGTCTCTTCGAATGACATGACGCTTATGGGATCAAACCTTTGCATGACTTGAGGGGCGGTGGGAAGTGGTGTTGAATTCATGAAATGATTACTCATTTGCGTGTCTTCTGAGATGATCGACAGAACCGATTCTGAACTCGAATTCTCGTTCGCAAAGCAAAGAGTTTTCGAATTCAATGCATCTATGGGTTCGGTGTGGATGGGAATGGGAGCCACCGTTGAGGACATGTTTTGAGGGATCATCTGCGAGTCCAATCCGGTGGCAATCGTGGGCCCAATCATTGTAACGATAAAGGGTTTCTCGAAACTGGAGACCAACACCTGATTCTGTGCGGAAGCGTTGGCGAACTGTGTCGTCCCGTTAAACAATGTCATTGCATTGACTATCCGTTCAGATATACAATATTATTAGACATGGAAATTGTGGCGAGTTATTGGCATTGAGAGGGTTGAACGGTAGGTATTGCGACACGGGTTGGACCGGCAGTGAAACGGTTTCCGATATTATATCGGATGTGTTTTGCGACACAATCTGTGAGTCGGTTGTGAAGACATTTTGACCAATACTTGTGTTCATCGAAATGTCTGGCATCTCTTGCATAGTCTCTTCGAATGACATGACGCTTATGGGATCAAACCTTTGCATGACTTGAGGGGCGGTTGCAAGTGGTGTTGAATTCATGATATGATTACTCATTTGCGTGTCTTCTGAGATGATCGACAGAACCGATTCTGAACTCGAATTCTCGTTCGCAAAGCAAAGAGTCTTCGAATTCAATGCATCGATGGGTTCGGTGTGAATGGGAGCCACAGTTGAGGACATGGTTTGAGGGATCATCTGTGAGTCCAATCCGCTGGCAATTGTGGGCCCAATCATTGTCACGATAAATGGTTTCTCGAAACTGGAGACCAACACCTGATTCTGTGCGGAAGCGTTGGCGAACTGTGTCGTCCCGTTAAACAATGTCATTGCATTGACTATCCGTTCAGATATACAATATTATTAGACATGGAAATGCGTGAATCAATCATAATCTTAAGACAATTAAGTCGGACCTTTGACTTCGGACCCCTTCAGCGCTCACACCATCACTGCTCGCAATACAACACATATTCACAAAATGTGCGCTCAATTCGATACAGACTTATAATTATATCAAACAAACATTTGCTTAACACTCTCACCATTCATCCATTCACTCACAACATCATCGCATTCAAGACAATAGTCAACACAACATACAAACAGACATCGCATACAAACAGCCATTCTTTACATCAGTGACAGAATTGCAATAAATTAATTGCTATTAAAATTAATTTCTAACTTTAGTTTTAGATCGAATCGATTTCGATGTATTCTGTTATAAAAACTGAATCTAAAAACTAAGATAAGATAACATGACTTATGATTCTTGACTCCATAATACATTTGTATGTACTGTTCGGTGCTATTCTCGGGACCGACAAAAGGCCGGTTAGTTAGGACTCGAATCATAACTCAAATGATATGTTGTTCCGTCACTGACAGGTCATTACAAAGTCAAAGGTTATTAATGGCAATATAATAATATAATTAAATGATATTATTTTGATATTCAAGTATCGCATCATTTGAATTAAAATAATTATCAAAATGAACGGTAAGTAAAGGAGAGCCGAGACTTGAATATCTCAAAACCAATACATCGTTTGGGGAGTACATCATGAGATGTTAGGGCGAGCGCGGTATGCGATGTATTAGTTTTGTTTGTATATAAATTGGTGTTATATTGGTTTGGGTCCTACCACTCGATCAATGCTATGATGAGCGGCTAATTAACAAATTCAGACAATGCTATCCAAAGCTATATTTGGTTCACTTTCTCATCGCTGTTGACGGCTAAGGAAAGGCATACAAGTGTTACACTTCACACAATTAATTAAACATATTGTACTTCCAAATCAGGGCCAACTTTCTTAATAAGGGTGTAATGATTGCATAATTTATCCATTGTATGGGTTTCAGATACCGATGACAACAACTTTTCCAAACAGACATACACTCACAACACAACACAACTATTACATACACTTAGTCAACAAATAATCACTTATTTCATTGAAAATATCAGCGCAAAAGGGAAGAGAATCTCATTTCAATATTTTTTACGATCACTAATCCGATAATTAATACAACTATAGCTCATAACATCAGTTGACGGCCAGTTGTTTTGAAAGGTTTGTGAATAAAAGAAATCTTAACAAAACTATTAAACACAATCACACTAATCAATCGTACTCTCAAAGTTTGTCTTAAAAAGTTTTATCTTAAGAACTACTTCTCACAACTCATGCCTCGCATAATGTCTTCATTCACACCTCAACATAAAGTTGTCGTCAAATGTATCTGAAGTAGTGTTTGGATGTACAACAAAACTGGTATGAAATGTGTGAACAGGACTTAAAACTCTTACCCTTTTCAGAGATAATAAATGTGAATCTCTGTGCGTCCGAGTATTTACCGCCGCTTTTCACGCTTAATGAGACTTCAATTGAGTTCTGAGTGTTAAGTTCCGGTCCATCGTAACTGGGAATTACGCTAACCATATGTGTCTACAACAGAATTACAACATATTTAGTACTCGTGTTGTATGGTTGCATCAGTTTGTTATCACTGGTTAGACCACCACTTACTGGATGCAAATACTCTTTATCCGGTTCCACAACTTTAGTCCAATCTTTTCCCTTCCAAACAACTTTTGCATCCTTTAAGAAGTTCTTCCCAATTATGAACAACTCTTGTCCTCCTTTTGAGTCGCACTGAGAGACAGACTTTTTGCAGATCTCAGGCGTCCCTAACGGTTGAGTGCTGTGCGAGTCATACAGAATTGGGTTTAAGTAAAGAAATGTTTAATAAATTTAAATAAAACAAAATTACCATAAGATAGGAGAACTGACAACTTGTAAGATTTCATTGGTTTCCGGGATTTGAGCTCTGAATACAAGCCGACAACGAGTCGACCGCTTTTTAGTGGGAACGGCACCACAATTGTCGCCATCGTTTCGGTTCTTAAAATTAGTCAATTTCTGCTCCACATCCACATTACGCTCCTATTTAGACATTATGTGAATCAATAGGAATTCACTATTCAAACAACTATACAAACCTTAAGAATTCCGACACAATCGACGGTCACCTGCATGTCGTTGTGAGGGTTGGCCTCCATGACGATCAAAGTGGTTCCGTCCACCCGTTTGGTCGTACATCGGGTCGAGTTCTTGCCCGATATCTTCGACGCCTGATAGAAGAGGTGCGAAGAACCCAATTGCTTGTCGTGTCCAATGAAACACTGAATCTTAACATTACTCTTCGTATAACCGCACAGTTTGACGACGGGATGACTCAAACCACTCTTGTCTTTAATGGCGCCACGACTGCCTTCAGTCAGATATCGAGCTCTAAAACCAATTCATTCAATATTTAGATATAAAGTGCATTTCATTTACTTTTATCATCAAAGAAAGTATAAGTAATTGAAAGTATTTTTTCTAACAAACTACTTGTTTTTAATGATTACATTATCTGTTTATGTGTTTAGAGTTAACGTGCGATTAACCAATAAATCAATAAAAAGCAATTGAATTGAATTGTTTAAATGCAATAATAAAAGGTTCCTACACACAATAATAAACATTTTAAGTTTGAAATTAATAAAGTTAAAACATTGATTGTTAAAAAAAACAATACCGGTAATTATAAATGTTTAATAACTTTAATAAATTAAACAAGTTTATGTAATAACTACAGTATTGAAAAGCATAGCCAATAAGATACAGATATTTAATTTAGCTTTTGGTTAAGAATTGTCAGGATCATTAATACTATTGATAGCTATTTATTAGATAATTTAGCAGTAATAAGTGTAGACAGTACAGTAGTATGATATACCGGTGCTAATTAAATAAATCATGATATAGACATACAATATTTGCATAATAGTGTCATTTCACTCAAATAAATGTGAATTAAATTGAACTTTGATTTAAATATTGAATATTTGGTTGAATTTAATCTCAATTTCATTGAATATCTAAACAATGAGTCGATGACTACATTGAACTCAAACTATAAACCAAAACAAACAAACAATTGATTACTGAATGGACTTTACATTACAATTAGATTACAATAAGACTGAATGTCTTGTGACATGTTTAGCGCTTTACCACATAACATGATAACCAAATTGGGACCAATTAAGTGATAATAATGTATAACTAGTAGTGAGACAAGTGGACAGACCTGTGCTGTTCCTCGGGTTGTGACAAAATCTTGAGCTCGTATTTGCCATTCTTGGATCTCGAGGAATACAAGTGATTGTTGGCTTTCATGACACCCTTAGTGGTGAGGGATTGGGAGGCATTGGATTCGATGACTTCGTGGTTCACTTCCTTCATGAGTGCCTTCAAGAGCAGCATCTCGTCATCAAATCTGACCATTTTGTGCACAGAAGACGACAGATTGGATCCACAAAAGCCAGAGTCGTCGTCAACGTCCGCACCACTGCTTCCGAGTCTGTGATCTGTGTTTGTGTCGAACGGATGCTTTCGTTTACCACTTCTGCCCATCAATTGAATCAACTGTTGATTGCATTAAACAGTCATTTCAGATGTCATTCAAATCATACAAAACACACAATTGTTTACAAACTCATTGTCACCCACTCTATGACCACAACTCATGTGCTCACTAGAGGTCACTACAGGTCAACAATTCTACATAATTCTCTACCTTACTGTCAATGACCACAATGACCATGCTCATTATGTTCACTCATATATTTCTATTTAATTACCTGTCTATTAGGGATAACTAAAATCTAACTACACAATACTTATTAAATTTAAATATATTAAATCTCTTTATTATTATTTAAAAGTTAAGATTGCTATGAATAATTATTCAAATGAAAAATGTTTAGTTAAAAAAACTTTTTTACGTGATGTTAATACTGTATTTACCATTAAATCAATCAAGAGTCTGGATTCAAGACTTAAAATTAGAAGTATTTCACGAGAATATAGAAATATTGGGCACAAAAACAAACAAACCGTCAAATAATAAGGCTTTACTAAAAATTTGTGTTTTCTTTTGGACGGAAATATCATTCATTGAATGAAATATGAAATGTTTTTTCATTAAAAACAACTTTTGCTAATCAGTTAAAGTAAAAGTATATGTAATTCAAGACATGTGTTTATAGTTCAATGAATTCGCAGAATAATGCTGTTTTGTATAATACATATAAACATAGTTATAAATTCTCTAAGTAATAGATAGCTATTTAAAAATATTATTTCAAACTTTTATAAATTTATTACTCTTTTTATTTACTCTGATTTTGATAAAATGACAAATTTTAAGAAAATTTGATTGCATTTAATAAATTAAGATTAAAGACTTGAATGTTGAGTATTTCAAAAGAATTTCCTATTTATTTCAACATTTTTAAAGTAAAACTTGTTATTAAATAATTTTTAATTTGAGGTTAAATTCAAGTTGTGAACCAATTTTGAAATATTAAACATATTTAAAACTTATAAACTATTAAATATAAACTATATTTGAGCCATTTATTAGCACATATAGTATATCTATTATTTTTATAAACTTATTGATGTTTGAAAATATTATACAAAACAATACCTGTTGGGAATGGTGATCAAAATCAGTGATGTCGAGCAAAGCATTTTCATCCGAGTCTATCAAACATCGATTTTCATAAACAAAATTCATGTTGTTTTCAATCAATTAGTCGATTAATAGTTAGTTGTAGTGATTGAGAGCAGTATTGTCTGTATATTGAACTACTGATCAGTAATACGAGTGAAACGACAATAACTTATAACTAGTTTTATGACACTTAATACTCAATACAAGACTGTCTCCAACCACTCACAGCTATATTGAGGACTAACCAAATGAAGTGGATATCCAATTAACTATAACTTCCAATGCCTGCTCCTATCAGTGCCCGTCATTCCTGTTTCTCTTCCAACCGCCAAATCTATCCGAAGCCTCGTCCGTCCCATCCGTTCCCCTCAAGACCTTTGTCTTGTCTTGTCTTTAGAAATATTTCTTGTCTTTCAATATAATTATTAAATTCTCAAGTGATTTAGAAATTGTAATAATAATATTGATATTCTCTAATAAACCAACAATCGGTTCATTATCTTTAAAATAATAAGTATGACCAGTATTTCGCTATCAATCACAATGTCTACATGTACTCTACTTTATTAATAACTAAATTTCGAGACTATGAACAATTTAGTATCAGAAAGTTATACTGTACTAAATAAATAATTTGATCATTGATATGAATTCACATCGTTAAATAAATAAATCTATTATTTCTATTACCGTATAAGAATTCAATTTCATATCAAAACATTGATTTAAAATTCAAATAAGTTGCCCAAAAAATAAATACAGTAAATGTAAAGTTGAAGGTAAAGGGACAAGAGATCAGGGACATGACTATTTTTAGACTAATCAGTCGGGGCCTTACTTTGGATAAATGTTTGCTCCGGGCTCTACAATAAATACCTACTGTATTTCAAGATCACATATTCACAAATATATGCTACCATTGACTGAAATCAACTAAATTTTATTATTATTGGGTTATATTTAAATATACCATTAATTCATAGGAATCAAGAATCGCGCGAATACTGTATCAGTTGTTTGACACAAAAAGCAGAACAGAATTCAATGTAAGCTTTTATACAGTAAAGTGCTTTTCGCACACAATATTGAATGGATGTGAAAACATGAAAAAATAATTTGATGAAAAGTGACAAAAAGTGATTGAATAATAGTGTACTGTAGTATGAATTGAATGATAAACTGAAAGGTAAACAGAAATGCTGTAAAAACGGAAAGAACGGAAAAAGAGAAATTTGTTGTGATTTGCAAAACAGGTTTTAGAGTTCGTTAACTCAAAGTCATACACGTGTTCACCAAAAAGCATAACCAACACTGTTATCGAAAAGCACATCACTTTTTGTCTTTAAAGTAAATACAAGTCCTGTACATGATTTTTGGTGATGTTTGAGGTCTTGGAGATGATGTCGACCTTCGCCTCCTTTTGTAACAATAATTTTCCACTGATTTTAAGACTCGAAACATGAAAGCCTTCATTAAAGCAATAGTTGGCGAATATAACGATTGCATAATTAGTCCCAAAATAACATATTTTGAGAAAAATGAAATAAATGAACTAAAAATGAATTGAAAGCATCAGTTATTGATAATAATAACCGATGTCTACTGTATTCATGAATCAATAAAATCAAATGATTGGAAGCATTAGTGTTGAATAATTTTAGTAATTTTTATACATAAAGACATTCGTTATTAATGTTTGCAATGGGTTTTAGTAATAATTAAAAAGTATTTTATATATAAATTACACAACAATTTAGTTAAACGTCGAAACTTATAATACATTTGATATTTGGTCGCAATATATCGTACATTACATCAGTTGTGAGAAAGATCTCGTATTTAACAATAAATATGTTTTGACGGAAGTGTCAAAACAAGTCCTCATTAGTCAGACATGCCATCCAATGACGAAACGGATTCGCTCTCAATCTTAGTGTGGCTCGAGTTGTCCAAAATGGATGTCCCGTTCAAATCCAGATCTGTTATGCCAGAGCTCTTGGCCTTCTCGAGGGTACGGACTACTGGCGAATGAGTCCAATCATTAGCACACTTGGTCTCCAATCATAAACTCAATTATCACTCACTTTGCTCTTCGAGTACTTTGTTTTGTCGTTTCAAGTCATCGATGTCTCCCTGAACTGTCGTATTCTTGCGTCTCATGAAACCTATATATTCGGCCGCTTTCTTCAGTATCTGCGCCCTCGAAGCCTATCATACCATACAATGACACCATTTGTATTAGTACTGCATTATTGCCATGATTACAATATGACTGCAAACCTTCTCGCCATGAAGTGAAGGCACGGCATCTCTGAGACTACTGAAGCTGTCCTTAATGTGATCCCTGCGCTTCCTCTCCAGTGCGTTGTGATGCGCCCTCTTATCCGCCTGTCCGTCCGAACAATGCAATGCAAACACAGTTAATACTCATTGCCATTCATATACTCTATTAGCCCTACACTAGTCCATCAATGTTTCTGTGCAACCATTTGTCACCATTCAGTCATATAATCACTATTAATACTACAAACTAAACCTAAACCATATTCACACATATCATAAGCTAATGGATACAGAGTTTGAGTTCACAAAAGAGCTACTTATAGGTCACACAACTATGCATACAATGGATGGTCTGTATGTTGCATAACAATGACCATTACAGGTGAGCCTATACTCCACAGTACGTGTACACTGTACAGCACTTGATAGTGTACTAAACTATACTTTTTAATTAAATTAAAAGTTTTAACGATTGAATGAATAGTACGGAAATGATTGCAATGAATGGTATAACGTTGACAGAAGTGACTGAACGACAAAACAAAGTACTCGAAGAGCAAAGTGAGTGATAATTGAGTTTATGATTGGAGACCAAGTGTGCTAATGATTGGACTCATTCGCCAGTAGTCCGTACCCTCGAGAAGGCCAAGAGCTCTGGTACACTGTACAGCACTTGATAGTGTACTAAACTATACTTTTTAATTAAATTAAAAGTTTTAACGATTGAATGAATAGTACGGAAATGATTGCAATGAATGGTATAACGTTGACAGAAGTGACTGAACGTGTGATAAGACATGACATCCAGTGTTGACTCAATCACACAAATAGTGTACGACTTATCAAATCATTAGTAAATCACTTAATATTTCGTAATAACAGGTAATAACCGAAGAGTTATTCAAATATAAGTGCAATCAATGAATGCAAGAAATACAAGACCTGTGCGAATGCGTTACGATTGGAGTCACCACTGATTGATGCCGAAGAACACACGTCTTCGTCCTAACGGTGCAACAGATATAGCATATGAGACACAAGTCATCAGTGGTTAACAGACTAATGCATAGCATATGATAGCATAGCGATCAGACAATGGGCACCACATCTGCTGAAGTGGTGCCATGTCTTCATGTCATGTCTTACATCGCTCTCAATGTCTACATCCTTTTCCTCATCACTCATTGTAGGCAACGGGTGGTCAGTGAGAGTGCAGTGGACACCAGTTGCGGTCAGTTGTGGTCACCAGTGGCTGATCCCAATCACAGACACAATGGATGAAAGAGTGCACGACTGCAGTGATAGCACTGATAGACACAACACTTACCACTCATTGCATTGCGAACAATACGAGTGTTAATGCATTGAATGTATGACAAAATGGCGCACAAATGCACACATGGGTCGCATGAACAGCACCACTACTGGCCACACCTCACGGCACACTCACACAAACACCACCGCATACTATGTATCACTCTATGCCTCACCACTAGTGGCGCCAGGAGAGCCCACTTTACACGCGCTTCATGAATGTGATGGCAAAGCATGTTTTGGCAGCGTTTCAGTCACGTGACCCGCACTGACCCTCCCCTACGACCCGTTGGCCACTGTTTGCGGCCTTTGAGGCCATTTATGTGTCAGTGAGAGTGCAATGAGTGGTTGTGTGTGACTGTGCTGTGCATTGGTGTCCACTGCAGTCCATTGCAGGCATTGATTGCGATTCTAACGGCAATACAATTGAGACGTAATAAGTCGTACTGAACGACACACTTGTCTGTCAGCCAATCACAGGCCACACCAGTTGCTGGGCGTGTGTGCACTGCCAGCCTGACACTCATGTGACCCACACTCAGTGTCACGTGTATTGTGTATTCACTCTACACTCGATTCTGTGCTATTCCTCCAGAATTGCAACACTACTACAGTGGACAGGCATGTGGTGGACAGGCATGTGGTGGACAGTGAGGCTCGCTATGTGTCCGGGCATTCATATGACATGTTTGGTCGTACTATTGTCCACCCTATCTAATCACACCAACTTATTCTTGACCAAAACGCTTTGCAACAACTTTGACCATGCTCATTTGACACTGTGTTCAAATATAGAGTAGTTTATGACAAGCATAGATTTATAGAGTATTAGAGAATATAGACCTTGCTTATCTTATGTGACACTGTATTCACAGGAATTAGTATTAAATATTTCACTTATAACTTATGATATTATATAACTGATGTGATTATAATAAATGATACATACAGTACCAAAATGCCAATTTTAATCGGACACATTTATGATTTATGTGCATAATCCCAATTATCCCGGATTAGTGCATATTTATTAAGTCATATTAAAGGGTCATTCAAAAAATTTAAATAAAAAATTGTTATCGTAATAAAGCAATAAAATTTATATTCTGGGATAATTTATAATTAAATACTGTAACTCTTATAAAGTTAGATTTAATCTTAATGTTTAAATTTGGTAAAGATTACACTAATTAATAAAATGAATTTTATTCAATTAATCATGTCACATTATAGAAATTTTAAATAATTTAGAATTAAATTCACTTATACCTAATATTAAATTTAATTACTTACAAGTTAGATAATTTTTTAGGGTAGGTAATGAAAATTATTAATTCATTTTAATAGTGAAATGATGTTAATATTGTAACTCAATTCAAAAATAACAAAACCAAAAAATAAAACCAAATACAATAATATATTTGACCATACTGTACTGTCACCTTGGTTTGATACATTGTATATTATGTATATATTACATGTTTTATTTAGTAAGTTTTATTTAATTACTATTATCTATTATTTAAATACAGTAAAAGATTTAAATTGAAATAAATATATAATTAGTAGTACTGTAATGATTTATTACACAATAGAAAGCCTTGTTATTGGTTTAGTTGTCATAAGAATTATCAGTTCCTTATTAAATGATCTCTAATTAAATAAAAACAAATTCTTTTACACGGAATTAATTTTCGCTTATATGTTATAAATTGAATCAATGATCAAAAGTGTCAGTAATTGACAACAATTATTAATATTAACTCAACTATTCTTAAGTTTTTCATTCAATTGTCACATCTGACAGACGTTTAAAAAGTGCTTAATTTGTTAAAGTCTTAATTTATATTTCATTCACTCAATTATATTTAATAGATTTTAAATATATTTAATTTAATAATGTTTTTAAATAAATAAAAATAAAATGTACGGTTGTATACAGAGTATTCAAAATAAAAAGCTTTCGTTTAATGAACTCTTGATATTTGGATGAATACAATATTATTCAGTGTATAGCATATGATTTTAAATGGGATTCAATTGTGCAATTTAAAATTTACATTTAAAGCATATTCATAAATTATTTTTTACTATATCTATAATATTTTAGTATTACCAAGTACATGTATTTATATAAATTCTTAAAATGCGAAATTCATTGACATTTATGCGATTTGAAATATTCTGTATTTTCCTTACAATTCTTGTTATATTCATTGATACTGTAGTAAGTACAACATTACTCAATTTACAATAAATATTCATATTTCCACAATTCTTTGAGTGCACATGAATTTTAATAATTTTGTTACTTTACTTAAATACATAATATCTAAAATACTATTTAATCAGAATTAGCTAAATATCTTA